TTTTTTTTTTTTTTTTTTAAATGGGTCCTGACTTCATTCCTCCCCCCTACCTTGTGCAGAGTTTGAGAAAATGTCCTCGGAAGGAACAGAAAGTGTGGTTGGGAGTGAGGTGATGCCTTTAGACTATGGGAGCATGGACGCAGAGACTAGTCCATCTCCATCTGGTTCGGAGAAAACGGTGGAGGGGGTGAGAGGAGATGAGGTGGTGGAGGTTGGGGGGAACGAGGTGGTAGGGGTTAAGGGAGATAGCATTCCCATCACCGTAGTAGAAGTAGAGGGTAGAGGAGAGAGAGATTATGATGCGAATGCAGAGGTGGTAGAGGAGGTAAAGCAGTATAGATCCGAACTAAGGACCAAGGATAGCCTGGGTCACTTAGTGGAAAATTACGAGATCTCTTCTCGGGTGCTAGTTAGGCCAGCTGGGGTAGAGGAGAGGGCGTGCTCTGCTCCTCGGGATCACTGGATGCCTGTGTATTCCCACTATTTGATAGCGAGACTCAGGTTTCCACTTCCCGAGCTGCTAGTAGGGTTACTACTAGATTATAATATAGGGTTGACATAGTTGGTCCCCAACGCAATGAGGGTAATAATAGGTTTTTTAGTTTATTGCCGAGCTCAGGGGATTAGCGTGCCAACTGTGAATATGTTTAAGTACTTTTTTGTTTTAAAGGGGGGAAGTAGGAGGGATAAGGGGTGGTATTATTTCACCCCTAGGGTAGCTAGGAAGGAGAGTAGGGCGTTGTTTACAGCAGGTCCTTCATCCATTAAAGGATGGAAGGAGAAATTCTTTTTTGTGGATGATACGGAGTGGGGGAAGGGGGGTGCCGAGGTGAGGGAGTTAGCCTCCTGGAAGGCCAAAAGGGCCAACCAGAATAGGTTTAGCTTAAATGAGGATGAGGAGGAAGAAGTAAGGAAGTTGGTGAGGAAGGGGGGAGATTTGTTGAATATTATGGACCTCACCAGCGCAGCATGCATAGAAGCTGCTGAGCTCTATGGGCCAAGCGCTCTGAGTGAAGGTTTGTTTAGTTTTGCATTATAGTACTGAATGTAGAATATAAAACTGTGATTAATATTATGTTTTCTTGTTTTGCAGCTGAAATGGACCAGTTTCTGCACACTGCTGGAGGAAAGGCTATCCCCAAGAAGCCAAGGAAGAAGTCAAGGACTTCAACCAAGCAAGTGGATGAGGGGAGGACTGGGAAGGAGGTAGTGCCCATGTCTTCTACTGAGATGGAAGAGGAGGTGCCGCTACTGAAGAGGAGGTGCCGCTACTGAAGAGGAAGGGTTGGGAGGAAAGGAGGGCACTGCAGAAGAAGCAGAGGGTGGTGGAGGAGGAGAGGGGGAATGAGGTTCTTGAGTTCGTACCTCAGCCTCCTCCTGTTGAGCTGAACCCTGAGCTCAGACGGTTGGAGGAAGGGGCTGAGGTACGGGCTCCTGGTAAGGGAAAGGGCCCTGTTCCCCCAGTGATGCCTCAGAGCAGCCTGTTCGAGGCGAAGAACATGACGGGGGCTAGGTGGTTCATCAACAGCACCTTCCCCGAAGTGGACAAACGCAACGCGCGGGAGGAGGCTCTGAGGTATGGGGGAGCATCTGTTGTGAAGCACGTTCTTGAGGTATGTTAAATTATTGGTGTTGTTTATTTAATTTGTTTCTTCGTCTCATCTTCTCTCTCTTAACGTCTGCTTTGATTTGCAGAGCGCGAGCTGGGTGAATGGTCTAGCCCAAGAGTTCATGGAGAGTCTAAGGGAGCGCTCACTCTTGCAGAGGCAGTATGACCAGCTGTAGAAGGAGAAGGAGGAGCTGGAGAAGAAAAATAAAGAACTGCAAGAGTCTCTGAACGAGGTGGTTCCAACTATGAAACAATTGGAGCAGGAGAGGTCTTCCCTGAGCACCAAGCTCGTCTTTGAAGAGAGCAAACGAAGGATCTCTGAAAGCGAGCGTGAGGCTCAGGCGCAAGAACTAAAGCTGATGAAGGAGACATGCAGATGTTGGTGCACAATGGGATGAAGGAGCACATCAGCAATTTCATCAGTTCCAGCTCGTTTGACAGCATCGTCAACCTGTACCGGCTGCCCACTGCCATCATTGCTTTCACAGACTGCAGAAAGAAGGTGAAAGCTGTATATCCCGAAGTGGATGTGACAAATATCACCTTCGGCGAGCAAGAAGAGGGAGTAGAGGAGGATGGCGAGAGCATGTCAGCAGACTTCCGTCCTCAGATCAAGCTGAGGTGGGAGCATGATGCAGACGGTCTTGCTGTTTTTCCTCCACAATTCGACTTCGAGTTCGTTGTAGTGGAGGAAGAAGGGGCAGAGGTAGAGGAAGACGGGGTGGAGGCAGGAGTGGAAGGAGCTGAAGTGGATGAGAGCCAAGCAATTCCAGAAGTGGAGATTCATCCGGTTCCTTCTGACGATGAGCAGCCTCCTCCGCCAGACGAGCAGCAGCCAACACAGCCACCTCTTCCAGCTGAACAGGAGCCAGTGGAGCCACCTCCTCCAGCAGAGAACTAATTTTATTTTTTAATTTTTTGTAAAGACATTTAAACAGTTTGTAATACTTTACTTTGAATGAAAATGCATTTTTGAAATCATGTGTTTGTTTGTATTTGCTTTACATTTTTGGTATTATTTTTTATTAATGAAAGAATTAAGATTGTGTGAGACGTGACTTGAAAGAAAGGCAACCACTTCAGAAATGAACCAAAGGGAAGTAAGTCACTTCAGACGAATTAAGAAGAAGTAAATAACTTCAGATAAATGAAGAATAAGTACATCTCTGCAAATGAATTAGAAGGACATAAAGCACTTCATATGTGAAGTGGCATTTATTAATCAGAAGTGAGGTTCAAGGGCTAATTGACCTCAGATACATGGAATAAGAGGTAAAATGAATCTCAACAAACACGAAGTGAGAAATGTAAAGAACAGTAAGACATATATCACTTGAAAGAATTTTATTAGGGGTAAAATTTCTTCAAGTTATTGACATTCCAGACTCTAGGAACTCTCTTTCCTTCAGCGTCTTGGAGGACATAGGCACCAGGATGTGGCACCTCGGCCACGGCATAGGGGCCTTCCCAATTTGGGGCGAGTTTGCCAAAACGAGTTTCAAACCCTGTTAGGCCAGCTTTTCTGAGAACGAGGTCTCCTACTTTGAATGTTCAAGGACGGACTCGTTTATTGTAGAAGTTGGCTAGTTTCTGCTTGTATACAAGAGTTCGAAGCCGAGCTTCTTCTCTGACTTCAGCAAGCAGATCAAGGTTTTCCCGAAGCAGTTGTCCATTTCGCCTTTCATCGAAATGGGTGACCCGGAAGCTTGGGACTCCTATTTCAACGGGAATGACTGCTTTGGTACCAAAGGCTAGGTGGTAAGGTGTTTCACCTATTTCAGTTAATTATAACTTTAGAATGCGCTTTATGCATTATGCATATTTGCTCTAAGGTAAAGCGTAATAGAAGAAGTAGAATACTACAGAAATTAATCAAATAAACTCGGTTTAAAATAGTACCTGTGGCAGTTCAGCTCGTGGTTCTGTATGCCCAAAGGACGTTGTTGAGCTCGTCTGCCCACTTGGCCTTATGCTGTTCCAATCTCAGCCTTATACCTTCCAAAATGCATTTGTTAACAGATTCAACCATGCCATTGGACTCCAGATGGTAAACGGAGGTGAACTGTAACTTGATCCCATAACTGGAACAGAAATCTCAGAATGAAGAGCAATTGAATTGAGTTCCATTATCAGCCACAATTTGATTCGGGATCCCATATCTGCAGATGATCGAGCTGAAAACAAAATCTTCGACCTTCTTGGAGGTAAGACTAGATAATGGCCGAGCTTCAACCCACTTTGTGAAATAATCTACACCAACAACCAGATGGGTTACACCACCAACCCCTTTCACGAATGGACCTAAAAGATCCAGTCCCCACTGTGCAAATGGCCATGGTGCTACCAAGTTCGTGAGTTCTTCTGCGGGTTGATGAGTTAGATGTGCAAAGAATTGGCACCTCGGACATTTCTGAACAAAGTGGGTGGCATCCTTATACATGTTTGGCCAGTAATATCCCTGCCTTAAGACTTTGTGAGCCAGGGTTCTAGCACCAACGTGGCTCCCGCAGACACCTTCATGTACCTCCTGAAGTGCATACTCGACTTTGTAGGGATTCAAGCACCGTAGAAGAGGAAGTGAAAAAGATCTCTTATAGAGGACCCCATCAACAAGTGTATACCGAGATGCTTTCTTCCTCAACTTCATTGCTTCCTGCCTGTTCTCAGGTGCTATCCCATCTCGCAAAAAGGAGATAATTGAGTCAGTCCAACTCGGCATGTCAGGGTTTGTGCTAACCTCCATCATCCGAGGCTTCATGAAGCTTGGTTCATCTAAGACCTCCACAAAAACGGATCTGGAACTTAAAGAGCTATCAGAGGCAAACTTGGAGAGTGAATCTGCCTGTTCATTCTCAGCTCGGGGAATTTTGCTCAGACAGAATTTCTGGAATTTGCATTTCAGCTCGGCCACCAAGGCTACATATTTCACCATTACAGGATCAACGACTTCGCAGATTGAGTTGATTTGGTTTACCACCAGCTGGGAGTCACTGTATATTTGAATTGCACTGATTTTCAACTCCAATGCTAGCTGTAGGCCAAGTAGTAGAGCTTCATACTCAGCCATGTTGTTTGTTGCATCAAAATTGAATTTCAGGGCATGTTCGCTTCGATATCCCTCTAGACCAATCAAGAGAGCACCAGCTCCTGAACCCTTATTACTAGATGCCCCGTCAACATATAAAGTCCAGTCGTTGGGCTCTGGATTAGGGATTGAAGGACATGGGGTGCATTCGACAATAAAATCTGCCAGTGCTTGAGCTCGGATTGCGGATCTCTGTTGAAATGTTATTTCAAACTCCCCCAATTCTACTGCCCACTTAATCAACCTTCCAGAGCACTCTGGCTTTTGTAGAATCTGTCGAAGAGGTTGGTCTGTAAGGACAATGATTGGGTGTGACTGGAAGTATGGCCTCAACTTTCTAGCCGAAGTGACGACTGCTAATGCTACTTTCTCAGCTATAGGATACCTCAGCTCTGCTCCATGTAGCACGCTGCTGATATAATAGATTGGTTTCTGCTGCCTGGCTTCTTCTTTCACCAGAACTGAACTAATGGCCTCATCTGAGATCCCCAGGTACAAATAAAGAATCTCTCGATCTACAGCCTTAGTCAACAGAGGCGGTGAGCTAAGATAAGACTTCAGCTCTTCAAATGCAGCTTGGCATTCTTGACTCCATTCAAATTTCTTCTGTTTTCCTGATTCATCCTTCTGGGTGGCTGACCTCATAATCTTGAAGAATGGCAGGCACTTATCTGCTGACTTCGATATGAATCGATGAAGAGCTGCCACCCTTCCAGTCAACCTCTGTATATCTTTTACTGATTTCGGCGGTTCCATCTCGGCAATTGCTCTGATCTTCTCTGGATTGACTTCAATTCCTCTTCGGGACACCATGAAACCTAGAAACTTTCCAGACTCCACGCTGAAGATGCATTTGGCTGGATTTAACCGCATTCTGTTCTTTCTGAGGTTGTTGAAAGTTTCGTCGAGATAAGCTAGATGGTCTTCTGCTTTTAAGCTCTTGACCACAATGTCATCGACATACACCTCCAGATTCTTGCCGATCTGAGCTCGGAAGACAATGGTCACCATTTTCTGATAAGTAGCACCTGCGTTCTTTAAGCCAAACGGCATCATGACATAGCAATAAATTGCATCGCCAGCATAGAACGAGGTTTTCTCTTCGTCTTCTAGAGCCATCGGCACCTGATGATACCCCGAATATGCATCCAAGAGGCTTAACCGCTCATTACCTGAAGCCGCTTCAACTAATTTATCAATGCTCGGCATTGGATAGCAATCCTTGGGGCAGGCTTGGTTAAGGTTTGTGTAGTCAATGCACATTCGCCATTTACTGTTTGCCTTCTTCACCAGCACTGGGTTAGCCACCCATTCACAATAATCAACTTTTCTGACAAAACCAGCTTGTAGAGGTTTCTCTACCTCTTCTTTAATAGCCTGAAGCCTCTCCCCCCCAAAGAGACGTCGTTTCTGGGCCACTGGTTTCTTCAATGGATTGGTACTGAGCTTATGTTGACATACTGAATTTGGAATTCCTAGCATATCTGCCGAAGTCCATGCGAATACATCATTATTAGCTCGGAGAAAAGCTATTAACTCTGCTCTTTCCTCTGGGTTCAATCTAGTTCCGATCTGTGTCTTTCGGCTCGGATCTCTGTCATCAATGAGCACTTCTTTAACGTCTTCGACCGGAGCAGCTCTGGTTTCATCTTCCGGTCGATTATCTATGATCTCTACACCCATAACTTGCTGATTATCTGGAATTCGTTGGGGAATGGCCTCGGGTGTTTGATCTTTGCCCTTCGTGGGTTGTGTGACCGAGGTGATATAACAATGTCTGGCCACCTCCTGGTTTCCTCGCAGTGTTGCTATTCCCATAGGAGTGGGGAATTTCATGCAGAGGTGAGATTGGGAAACCACAGCTCGGATTTCAGTCAATGTGGGTCGACCAATAACGATGTTGAAAGAGGACGCCATCTTGACAACGAGGAACCGGACTGAAGGGGTTACATAGGTCCGACCACTCCCAAAAGCCACATGGAGGGTAAGAACTCCTTCTACCGGAACAGGCTGGTTGTTGAAACCATAAATAGGGCCATCATATTTCTGCAACAACGCTGGATCCAGACTAAGACTCTCGAAACAGTGGAAGTACATGATGTCTGGTGCACTTCCGGTGTCAACAAGGACACGCTGTACTTCACAGTTGTTAATCATGACAGAAGTGACCAAGGGATCATTGTGGGGTGTAACAACTGTATCGAGATCAGCGGACGTGAAAGTAATGGGCTGATTTTTCCACTCAGCATCGTCAATCTTTCGTTTCTGAGCTCGGTTTTGGTGCTTAACCTCTCTGACATACAGCTTTCGCTGTTTAGAGCTCAGTCCACCTGCTTCTAGACCTCCCGTGATCATGTGTATGATTCTGGCTGGTGGTGGGAGTGGAGGTGGGTTTTGCTGATACCCCACACCTTGCCTGTTAGGGGGATTACGGGATCCTTGAGGCTGTGGCCCTTGTTCTCTGACAAACCGTGGCTGTGCGGCTCTCTGAACGTATTCATTCAGCATTCCCCTCTGAGCTAGACTTTCCAGTTCGGACCTTAAACTGTTGCACTGCTCTGTAGTATGACCGTGATCTTGATGATAATCACAGTATCTGGTATGATCTCAGCTAGCAGCAGCAGCAGCTTTCATTGGGCCAGGACGCCTTAAATCCATCTTATTCTTGATCTGCATAAAAATTTGTGACCTCGGCAGATTAAAGGGAGTCCAATTAACTTGAGGTTTACCTGCAGACTGTTGCGGGGGTGTTGAATTTGGCCTTCCGAATCTCGGCGAGGAGGTCATCAACGGACCCCCGTTCTGCGCCATCCTCATCCTTTTCCGGCTCGGATTGTCATCTCTCCATTCTGGGTTCTGGTTCTTAGAGGGAGGTGGGTTTTGCGCCAATGCGTATTCCTCAGCGGTTATAAATTTCAGAGACCTATCGTTCACCTCGCTAAAGGTGGTGGCAGCATGTTTGATCAAATTGTCTCTGAACCTATCATGTTTGAGACCGGAGATTACAGCTGCAATGCCCACAGCTTGGTCGAAGGAACTAACCTCCAACACCGCATCATTGAACCTGCTCATGTAGTTCTTCAGAGACTCTCCGTCCCTCTGTTTAACCCGCATCAACTCAGAAGCAGTTTTCCTAATCAACCTTCTACTGGAAAACTTAGTGGCAAAAGCAGATGCCATTTCTGTATAGGAGCTGATTGACCTCGGAGGTAGACTATAATACCAAGTTCGGGCATTACCTCGCAGAGTAGAGGGGAAGATTTTGCACATCAACGCGTCAGAGGCGTTCTGAGCGTGCATGCAAGAGTAAAAAGCATGCAGGTGATCATCGGGATCCTTCGTCCCATCATAAGTCTCCAGTTGTGGGATTTTGAAGCCAGCAGGATAGGGTTCCAGTGTAATGTTGGTGTTCAGAGGGTGAGGTATAGAGTCAGCAGCATGGTGTGGGGGCGGAGCACCTCGGTGTTCGACTACTAGCTTCTCCAGGCTATCGAGGTGGCGAGTAACATCATCAGGGATGGGTTGTTGAGCTGGTGCGATATGGGATTGACCCTGAGATTCGCTAATAGCGGGATCAGGTTGAACCGGTTGAGGATTCTGTTGTGGAGCTGGGGGTTGTTGAGCAGGGTTTAGTAAATTAATGAGGGGATCACCAGGATTATTTCTAGCTAGAAGCTGAGCCAGTACCAATTGAAAAACGCCAAACTGCTGCTGCATGGCAGCAAGCTGAGCTGCCACTACGTCTTGGTTGGCAGTGGAAGTTGAATTGTGAGCTGAGGCATGGGGTTGGTTTTCATCTCCTCCTTCTGCATGATCAACAGGAGGGAACATAGTGGGGATCTGAGGTAGGAGCTGAGGTGGAAGTTGAGTTGGGATCTAAGGTGGGATCAGAGGTGGAAGGTTGGTGGGGGGTTGACTTTGCCCATGAGGCAGAGATGAATTACCAGCTCTGACTGATCGAGTGTGAACCATGATGAAAGAGCAACTAGAAAGCTTTCAGTTCGATTCCCACAGACGGTGCCAATGTAATTGCACCAAACCAGAAGTCCTTCTTTAGTCCGCGCTTGTACTCCGAGATGACTTGCAAAGCCCCGAGGTGGAACTCGGGGTAGACACTCCGATGCTTAAGTCAGCAATAATCGGGGCTACCTTAAAGGCGGAGATAAAAAGAGCTTAGGGTGGGTTTCAATTACCTTTTTGACGTGGCCCGGGGGGGTATTTATAGGATCCAATGAGGTACCCACGTGGCATGCCAAGCAAGATAATCGGAGCTTGACGTGTCCATCCAGACGATTATTCCGGGACAGGGAATTTGAGAGGTATTCAGATGTACGAGCGTCCACCATACTTGCTGTGCCACTCGTCATAAGGAATCAGATGCGGGCATGCTTATTGTTATTGTTATGCAGCTATTTGAGCGGGAAGCTTTTAATTTATTCCTCACTTCGGTCATAAAGGAATTACTGCAGCAGTCCGAGGCTTGGCACCTCGGACCTGTCCTTACACTGCAGAAATTGTGAGGAGAGGTCAATGGATCTTGATAGGGAAGAACATAATCCTCAGCAGACTGGAGGCAGAAATGAGGTGGGACATTCTCGCAATAAAAACCAGGAAATTTCAGAGGGAGATGTGCCCAAACAAAAGGAATCGAAACGAGGGCGGCCTTGCTCAGAATTA